GTGTTTGGCAACGTGCTGGTCATCACAGCCATTGCCAAGTTCGAGAGACTACAGACCGTCACCAACTACTTCATAACCTCCTTGGCGTGTGCTGATCTAGTCATGGGCCTAGCGGTGGTGCCGTTTGGGGCCAGTCACATCCTTATGAAAATGTGGAATTTTGGCAACTTCTGGTGTGAGTTCTGGACTTCCATTGATGTGTTATGCGTCACAGCCAGCATTGAGACCCTGTGTGTGATAGCAGTGGATCGCTACATTGCTATCACATCGCCATTCAAGTACCAGAGCCTGCTGACCAAGAATAAGGCCCGAATGGTCATCCTAATGGTGTGGATTGTATCCGGCCTTACCTCCTTCTTGCCCATCCAGATGCACTGGTACCGTGCCACCCACAAGAAAGCCATCACCTGCTATCTCAAGGAGACTTGCTGTGACTTCTTCACGAACCAGGCCTATGCCATTGCTTCCTCCATTGTGTCTTTCTACGTGCCTCTAGTGGTCATGGTCTTTGTCTATTCCAGGGTCTTCCAGGTGGCCAAAAGGCAACTCCAGAAGATAGACAAATCTGAGGGAAGATTCCATTCCCAAAACCTCAGCCAGGTGGAGCAGGATGGGCGGAGTGGGCACGGACTCCGAAGGTCCTCCAAGTTCTGCTTGAAGGAGCACAAAGCCCTCAAGACTTTAGGCATCATCATGGGCACATTCACCCTCTGCTGGCTGCCCTTCTTCATTGTCAACATCGTGCATGTCATCCAGGAAAACCTCATCCCTAAGGAAGTTTACATCCTCCTTAACTGGTTGGGCTATGTCAATTCTGCTTTCAATCCCCTGATCTACTGTCGGAGTCCAGACTTCAGGATTGCCTTCCAGGAGCTTTTATGCCTCCGCAGGTCTTCTGCGAAAGCCTATGGGAATGGCTACTCCACCAACAGTAATGGCAAAACAGACTACATGGGGGAGGCAAGTGAATGTCAGTTGGGGCAGGAAAAAGAAAGTGAACTGCTGTGTGAGGACACCCCAGGCACGGAAAGCTTTGCGAACTGTCAAGGTACTGTGTCTAGCCTTAGCCTTGATTCCCAAGGGAGGAACTGTAGTACAAATGACTCACCACTGTAATGCAGGCTTTCTGCTTTTTAAGACCCCTCCCTGACAGGACACTAACCAGACTATTTAACTTGAGTGTAATAACTTTAGAATAAAATTGTATAGAGATTTGCAGAAGGGGAACATCCTTCTGCCCTTTTTTATTTTATTTTTTTAAGCTGCAAAAACAAGAGAGGGGGAGAAGCTGTATTTGAGTGCTTATTTGTTTCTTGTGCAGTTCAGTTCCTCTTTGCACGGAACTTAAAAGTTTCTGTCTGAAGCGTGTTGGTCCTAGAGGACTGTCTGTACGTTTAGATGATTTTTCCATGCATCTACCTCATTGGTCAAGTGTTAGGGTATACTATTATTGCTGCTAGTAATTTGTATCAGAAGGAAGTTTTCCTTCCTGTACCCTTGGACTTGACAATCCTGTGTCTTGGACCTTTCTGCTGTGAATATATACTCTCCCCCGCTCCACTTATTTGCTCAAATGGAGTGTTGTAGGCAGTGATCTGAGGGACAGCTTCAGCTGTTTTTTTCTGAGCAAAGTCTAAAGTTTACAGTAAATAAATTGTTTGACCATGATTTCATTGCACCTGTTTCTCCAAAACCTCTTGACTCTGGAGTGTCCTTGTCTTTCCCACTGGAAACCACAGGTAACTATGTGTCATAACTGCTGTGTGTCTTGATGTGGAAGGGTACCAGAATGGTATGCATTGATTGCCTAGCCCTCCCATGTGCCTTTGGATTTCCAAATGCAAACCTGTGTCTTTCCTAATTTTACTTGTGCCCCAAATCAGTTCTGCCTGCTCTCAGCATAACCCAGTGTGTCCTACAGTTGCTATTCTGTGCTGTCACCTCGGAAACCCTGACTCAGAGAGAGAGAGAGAGAGAGAGAGAGAGAGAGAGAGAGAGAGAGAGAGAGGAGAGAGTGTGTGTTCTGGGCATACGTTCTGTCCCACATGCTCCTGCTACCTACCTTCCAGCCCTTGTTTAAAAACTGTGTGGATTTATATCACTGGCATCTTTTACAGTAGTGCCCTTTGTACTGCAGCAGGGCTTGGTGTATTCAGGATGAGGAAGATGTTCTGTGTAAAGCTATTCAGGAATCTCAGAATTCCAAGGGAAATCAGAGACCTTGGTCATAGAGTGCAAAGCTTTCAAAGATAGCTGGTGAATAGTTCATACCCTGAACACGGGTTCAGCCTCTCCCTTCTTCCGCTTTCCTGGTCTCCTCTCCCCTGATTCTCTGCACTTCTTTGTAAATCAGGCTTTCTCATGCCTGGCATTCCCATGCATTATAGGATATTTAGCAGCAGACCTGCACCCAATTAATTCCAGTGGCACCCCTCAAGTTTATAAATCATAGACCAAAATAACCTCAGCCATGACCTATTACCCCTCAGGACAAAGTAGTCCTTTGCAGAAAGCCTGTTGTAGACTTTGAAAATATAAATTAGCTGGGTTTTGCTATTTACTACAAATGCTGTGTTTTTGACACCTAGGAGAAGGGAGAAGGTTTTTGGGTTTTGTTTTGTTTTTTTGTCCCCAGTTCACTCAGTTTTGACAGTCCCTCGGCCCCTCTTCTTTCTTCTTCATCATGCTGCCTTCTAAACTTGTGTTCCAGCTGTCCAGGTAGTTGCCACAAGTTAAGGTTTGAGTTATTTTGGAGGGTTTATCAGTAGAGGTGAGGCCCACAGGCCCTCACTGCCTGTTTGCAGAGAGATTATAATACTGTTAAGAGGCACAGAGGGAAATCACAAAAGTAAACACATTCCTTCTCCCAGCCTCATTCTATTTTTGCCTGTGTGTTGGAGCCAGAGCATGGCCCAGGTTTCATGGAGTGGATCGTCCTCCCTGGCAACACCAGGCTGGAAAGGATCAGCCTGCAAGGGTCAGTGCCATCCCTTTTGCTCTTAAAGCTAATTCTACTTCTCTTTCCCCTACTGTCCAAGGTCCCCAACACCGGCCTCCTCTGCTTCTCAAAAGCTCAGTGATGGGACCTCTGATGAGCATTGATCTCTCAAAGGGAGGCTAAGCACATGCTGTGCAAAGTGCAACGTATGTTATTCTGTGCAAACACATTTTGGTCAAGGTTTTCATACCACAGTCTCCTCCTCCTCGAGGCCTCATGTTTGATGGTACAGCAAGCTTCTCCAGATATTTTTCACATATCCCATAGCCTAACAAGGTCTTGGATTTGGAAGAGCTGGTAATATGAATAGCCTGAAAGCCTAATAGAGGAAACTGCCCAAGGTAAGTGACCAAAGATGCTAGAGCAGGGATAAGCCAGGAGCCCAACAGCCTGCCTCCACCACTGCTGAGCTCTGCCTTCATCTGAATTATGGAGCCTTTCCTTGAGGCTATACCATACTTTAGTCATCGTCTTTTAATACGAAAATCAGGAACTAAATAAATACTCTGCAAAAGGAACAAGAACTTGGCTTTATTAAGAAGAATCTACTAGATTATTCCTTGCGTTAGGGAAGTTGAAAGATCTCCTGACTCTTTATAACCAGCAAGTAATTTCAAAAGACTTCAGTTAGAATCCCTCACCGTTTTAAGATGTGTGTGTGTGTGTGTGTGTGTTAAATATAGTATATATTAAAAACCTTCCTGTCATTTGTTAATTAAGTAGACAGGAAAAACTATTAATAAATAAGCCAATAATATGCATACAATACCCTTGGCACTTCAAATGCACTTTGCTAGAATTTCAGCTATAAAGGTTAACGTCAATTCTCAGGTAAAGGAGACTTTTGCAATATCTGAGTCCCTTTAGGTATGCTTTAAGCTTAAGAACTTGCATCAGTTTTAAGAGGCTTGGAAAACAGGAACATCATGGGCCTATCGCAACCCCTTGTCTTTCACCTTTTATGTAGTTTTGTTTTCCCCTGTCCCTCCGTGTCTCCTGTTTGTTGACATGCTAGTTACATAAGATCTGTGTTGGATTCATCACCATAAAGTTTTCTTTGCCTGGACAGCAAGTTCTCAGGGTCTGTCAAATGAGAACCTTATCCTGACACTCAAGCTGACAGGTGTGAGTGGTGGCGGACAGGGTGGGCCTGCCTGCAAGATAATTACTGAGGCAAGGAATCTAGGAGGGGAAAGGAGCCTGGCAATAGGAGCTGTCCTTACATGCTGCTGAGATTGTTTGTAGATTTGCTGCCAAATCCGTCCATACCAGAAAGAACCCTGGAGTTTGTGTAGCACACCTGCTGTGTGCAGCATGAGAGAAGTATAGGCTGAGTGCGCTGTCCTCTTTCTAGACCACAATATATAACACTAAACAGTCACTGACCATGAAATCCAGCTGAAAGCTAGGGTTATGTTAGGCCACCATTGAGTGCTGGGTTCTCTTTACAACCTTCAGATGCAGGTAGAAGGGTTGTCATCTAGCAAATAAAGCAACTGATGTTCAAAAAGCCACACAGCCACCTAGCTGCCAAGTAAATATCAGAACCTAGGTCTGGGTGATTCGAGAATACAAGGAGCCTAGCACCCATGCAAAGCAGGAAGCAGCAGGGGGCAGGGAGAAGCTTACGATTTGTGCCAAAACAAGCGTCAGAACTGGAAATGCAATACCTTGTTGAGAGAGAGAAGAGGGAGGTTGTCGTGGGTGGGGGCAAGGAGGAATGTCCCTTCGAAACATGTGACTGCTGGATGGCTGGGGTCTGGAGCAGGAGACCAATCACTGAAGTGCCTAGTTGACTCCTCCGGGTCTTGCCTTCATCTGTTCTTAGAATATGAGGCCAAATAGAA